GCTTAGTATCGACGTTTTACTCATATTTTGGCTCATTGGTACGTGAGTGAAATGTATAGTACGTATTGTATTTGGGGATGTGGTAGGTAATTTGCATTGCGCTTCCTACTGTTATTATCAGGATTTTCCCAACTAGCTTTAACTTAAGTATATGTGAAACCAGCTTCACCTTCTCTTTTCTATTGTTTTTATCGTCGTTTGTATCCTGTAAACTTTTCCCTTCTTTATTTCCTGACTTATGCAAATTTTCGCATGTTGCAATAATGTAGAAAACGCAATTTCAGCACAGTATCATCGGCCCAGTTGCTTATATCAAAATTGACTTTGGATTTTTAATCCCATAAGTTTGTCTAATTTAGTGCACGCATTAACCAATTTTTCTAATCGCTGGAAGCTAAATCTAAATTAATTCAATAAATGCATTTGGATTTTATAATCCATGCCGTTTATGTCATGTTAATGCTTCCATGTGATTACAGCATCTACCTTTCTGCTGATATGTCGCTCGTCGTACTCTTCTTCGTACTTTTTTTAATTGTGCCTAATTTTTTTCATTTTAGCCTCAAATTTCCCGAAGATGATTTATTCATAGTATCATCGTTAAATGAGCGTCGTTAGGCCTCAATTTGTGTCACAGGCACCCAGTGGGTCCCAGGCCGAGTCCAATTCCTCGTTCTCGCCTTCACCATCCCACCCAGTTGTCACTAATTCCATTACAATCTCCCCCCTTTCACCTCCAGTAACCCATTTTACGACTCCGAAACCATCAAGTGAGGGTGACTACGATGTCCAGGCGGAAGATGATGATGTTCTCTACTATCCGGAGCTTTCTACATCTGAGGAACCGTACGTCAAGTCCTCGCCAGATTACACTGTCTCTCCTTCGACTGGCGTTGCGTCGTCGCGACATCGTCCACCACCGCCTCCTCCAAGTTCACGTCATCAAAAACTCTTCGGGGAAGTAGAGGAGGACGAAGATGAGGACGATGCTGGAATTCCTCCCGATGCTGGTGGTCTCTACCGACGTCTCACGGACGAGGATATCGGTGGTGTCGGTGCCTCTGGAGGCGAACGTTCTCCCTCCCTTTCGTCGGCTCTCTCTAGGGTAGCCGCCGAAGACCTGATGACGCCCTATATTTCTAGTCAGAAGGCAGCTGTTGAAGACGCCGACCCCGTCAACTCTGCTTTGTCACGACTAATTGGCGCGTCAATGGCTGCTGCGCAAGTTCAAGCCGCTGCCGTTCAAGCGGCCGCAGCAGCTGGCCTGGATCATTATGATGCCGCCATCAGGTTACCCCAGCAACCACGACTGAGAGTCTCCAGAGGGGCATGTGCTGGACCTCTCAGAAAGCTCTCCGTGGATCTTATTAAAACGTATAAACAAATCAATGAGGTGCGTTTCTCCGTGTACAGCTATTCTTGTCTGGTAGACGGTGTGTTTGTACGTTTATATGTCATTTCTACACCCCGTTTCCTGAAAATCTGTTATAATTTCCACTGTCCAATAATGTATTGGGGTCTACCAACTGAATAAGATGTTCTCTTGGCTTCGTTCTGCTAGGTTTACTACCGAAATAAGCGACGATCAAGAGAAGGCCAGCAGCAGTTGCGTCGTCACTCTCAGTTCTTGCTTGACACTTCAAACGAGGACCCGACACTGCTGGCGTCCACGTCGTCAGCTGCCTACACCCTGCCCCCTCAACCTCCACACTCCAACTCGTCTGCTCAGTCAACAGAATCGCTAACGCTCCACCAGCACAATCACCAACAGTCTGGAGATTCGGTGTACACCAGTGCGCCCCATCTGGTCGACGGCGGCGCTCCCCTCTTCGCCCCTGCCTACTATCAACTGAACTACCCGCAATCGTCCGGCCAGCAGCCCCTCAACGTCGACCAAGTCGTCCACATGCACGCGCTTGCCACAAAAATGGGCGATATAAGTGGGTCGCGTCACCTCGCAGTTAACCCCTTTCTCCGTCAACTTGCTGCTCACAGCCTCCTGCCCCCTTCCACAGGTATCTACAACGAGGGCACAGGAGCGAGTCCGGACGAAGTCGTGGGTTTCGGGCCTGGTTTCGCGTCGCCGGGACTGTCGCAGCACCACGGCGTCGCACACCGTCCGCGTACTAATCGTGCCAACCAGCTGCCTGTCTCCTCGGCATCCCTCTCTACCCCCGGTCTCCATCCGCTTCTCCAATCGATGGCACCCCGTGGCAACGGACCCTACCACCATCACCAACATCAGCAACAGCCACCACCACCACCACCTAACTACTACCAGAACCAGATTGCTCTCCTTGAGACGACTGGTGTCATGCAGCACCCCTACGCATCCGGCAGCGTTGGTGTCAGTGGCGGTGGCGGTGGTAGTGACGCGGTGTCAGCCTCGAACACCATCGCAGCCTTCGCCAACAACTACGCCAACGCCATCGATTCTGTGACCGAGTCCCTCCATCCACCGATTTATGCTTGTGAGTATCTCTGCTATTGTCATGTGTAAAAGCCCGATTTAACTCCCTTAAAAACGCCACATTTAGGCTGTAATTGATACAGCAAGTACATGGTGTGTTTGTGAGGTTTCGGTGAGTAATGGAGGTGTGCACGTGTCCACTGCGTGACAGTCGCCCGGTGTGTGCTGCGTTTTGTTCGTGTTCGTTCGGGTACATCTGAGCGTCCGTGCCTTGGCAACCTGGGATGTGGTTTTGAGTTCTGCATTACTTGCGTCCCATCCTCCTTGGTTGGTGTTCTGTTTTTGCATAAAAACACGCCACGTTTACTGGTGTTAGCGTCTGTGCGCCAGGCCAACCCATTGCTCTTTCCCATGCCTCAGTCTCGTAAATCAGTGCTTTGTTTACGCACAAAGTAGCCGTTTCACCGAACCAATCACCAACCCCCCCCCCGCCTCGAATCAACGTAACGAAGTCTTTGCACACTTGAATTTGCATTCAGTACTTGGTGTACGTCGCTTAGCCCAGTGAATTATTGGTCAGTTTTGGGTTGTGTTAAGCAAAAACAGCCCTTTGCGTGTGTGGTGCTGAAGTTGGAGACAACATGTGTTCTGGCTGGCACAAGGTGGGAAGGCACGGCAGCGTTTTTAACGGTTGTTATTTGAAAGTTCAGTTTGACCTCATCTTGACCCCTCGTGGACGCATGCGCTCGCGAGGGAGCGAGACGGTGGGAGGGGTGGGGGCCAGGGAGTGTCCGCCGATTCGACAGTCAAGTGATTTTGAGATTAGCTTGAGCGTTGGCATTTACAAATAGCATTGCCGCGGAAAGATTGAATACGCCTGGAAGGCAGCTTATTCACGACGCATCATCACCACCACCACAGTCATCACCATTATCGGCATTTCTCCCGAGGGGTATTGATGTTCTCTGGGAAGGTTTGTGTTTTGTGGACGATGGCGTTTCTGATTGGTCCACTCACAAAGAAATGTCATTTGTTAGGTGATCTGTGATTAACTATTAACCGAGGCACGTAGTGATCGGATTTTCCTGCAAGTGAAACCATATTTTGCCGCGTACTTGAACCCTGACTGTGTATCCGTTGCCTCACGTGATTGGAATTCGTCGATTTTGTGTGGAATGCTTCATGTTAATCCAAAGAAATTGCGGCGCGATTCCCTTCGAATTGCCAAACCCAGTGTCATGCTAGCCTGTGTGAGCATTTTTTTATTTCCAGAAAAGCGTCACATGTGAAACATTCCACACATTAACCCGATGTGATGGAAATTCTTCCACACCAGTAGCCACATTCTCGCGATTTGGTTGGGGTTCACGCAAGTCGAAACGAGACGTCAGGCGTTGTCCAAAACGTGAACACGGTAACCCAGTACCCGATTTCTCCGTCGACGACGTCCACAGATCCCATTGTTTACCGGTGCCTGAGCGAGTGCTCTGCCCAGAAATATGCACGTCTTCCGTGGCTTCGCTCATCGTGACAAAAAAAACGCACTAATTTCGCCAGAAAGCGGCCTTGTGCGATTTCACACACACACACAATCCCACGGGAACACTTAGATTGCGTGCACCTTTTGTTCACACAAAGTGAAATTGTGACGCTGTTGGGGTGGGGGTGGGGAAGGGCATTTGGGTGTGCAGCAATAACAGCATTACCAAGCCCCAACCGACCGTTCGGATGCGTTTTTTTTTGCCCCACACGATCGATAGGGGGGACAGGAATGTGATTGGAATGCGGTGTCGTTGTCGCCGCTCGATACGGCTGTTGTTGCACCCCGTAGGGTCGTCTCTTGTGTGTTTGTAAGTTAAACATTCTCGCTCTCTCTCTCGTTGATTAGCGTAAACACAGGACCTCCTGTGTGTAAGTGGCAATCATTCGACGCAGAGCGATTTATGTAAGGCCATATCGTTAAAAATGGTCGTTTTCGACCCCAAACTTGCAACACTATCGACGAAGAGTGGTAGCACCGCGTAAACCGTGGAGGCAGCCTATCCACGGTGCACGGTTATTTACCACAAACGTGTTCTGATATTTATGCCTGGTAGTGTTGATGTGAACTTCGTCGACGTTTCGATGACGCAATGAGTCATCTGGCGTCCAATAAATCTACTTTTTAACCCCACCCACCCACGGAGGTCAATTCCACGAAGCCGCTGGTCAACAGGCGCGCCCTTTCCCGATCTGATTTAGACATTTTCGATCGATGATAACTACTTCTACGCTGCATGGCATGTCTACACACGAAGTATTGCAAGATTCGAGGTGTTGTTGACGTGTTGGCAACTTCCCTGACCAGCTTCTGCAAATCAGCATCCCCAACCACGTCGGCATCATCCAGTCTTGGTGGAAACCAGGGCTTTGAACGACTTCTCCAATGTGTTGGCTACTATAAAGTGCCTATGTCCTCGTTGAACGTCAGCAAGCACGACGTTGCCAAGTCAAGCACAGTTGAGTGATGATCTCAAGCAGGCTTCAGGAACGATGGCTCTGCCAATTGCGTGCTATCGAGTGCCCATCGCATCAAGACATGATTCGTTGCTATCCGATTAATCGGATGCGCTAACTAACCAATACGGTTGTTTGGAGGTAGTAGTTGCAGGCACAGAGGTTGGGCTTGAAAGTGTACAAAGTCGCTTGTTACCGGCGAGACAATTGGCCTTCACTTCAAGTCCGATTGCGAAATCACATCGCTGACGACGATTGAAAGCAGCAATTGTGGTTGCCAGAAGACACGCCACACAGCCGCTCCTTCTTATGCCCAAACGTCTACTCATTCCATACAACAGTAGTACTTACCTTCACACTAAAACCTCTTTGGCATAGCATTCCGGGGCATTTAGTTCATGAAATTTGCCAGATTTGCCACCTTCACACAATCGTCATTAATGGTGCTTCCTCGATTTCACAAGCACAACCGACCTTCGACGGCCTGCTGGAACTTGATTGGCACGTGACCAGCTGCGTCGTCAGCTGTCGGCAATGCCCACACAAGACATTCCAGTCACCTTGAGTGGGTTTCCGTGCACCACGCAACCATCGTTAGACATTGGGGGGCGCACTTCAAAATTCACAAATCTTTCGATGCCGTTTGTTGACATTTCGCGAGATCCGCACTGATGGTGGGTGCGCGTGGCTCCACAGGCGGTAATGCAGTCTGGTGGTGTTCAGTTTTAATTGGCCACCATGGGTGTCCCATGTGGACGTCGGTTTCGACGGGAAGACAGTAGAGGGCATTGTGTTGGCCACCACCCACTCGTCTGTGCAAAGCCCATGTGGGTCACGCTTCGGTCGTTTGGATAAACTCGTCAAACACCACCGTGTTTCGTATGTGTCCGAAATTGCCGGACGCACTGCCTGGTTTGTCCGAGTTCACACCAGGTTGATGGGACTGTGTGCATGGCCATCCATAACTCAGAACGCAAATCGAGTATCCAATTTCGTGGTCGACATCGTGTGCCACCGACGTGTGCTCCACGTGGTCTGGCGCAACTCAGATTGTCCGAATTTGCGCGCCGAGGTGGAGCTGCTAGGAGGTCTTGGTGATCCAGATTTGACAAAATCTCGTAGACGTCAAATGCGCCGCTTCACGCACAAGTTAAACGCATCGTGGAGAGCCTGTCTTGGCACTCCCTAAAGGATTCAATTCTTCTCCCAAACGCGCACCTCACTCGGTCTCAGTTATCGGAAACTGTCGACTAGCATGCACGAAAATGCATGCGTTCCTTTGATATCGCGCTTGTTCCTGCGTCGCCCAAGGTAGGGATTTAGACTGGGTGTGAATTACCGTGAGCCTGTCCCTCACACCCACCCACCAACCAAACAATATGGGTGTGCTTTGAATTCGATGACAGTACCAGACTGCTAAATTCGACCAAAAGACGCGTTCGCAGTGCGGTTGAGGCATGCAAGCTGTTCCACCCCCTCGTCCACGTGCGTCGCGTTGCTATTTTTGGTTGTTTTGAATCGGTAACGAGAGCACAACTTTTAAAAGGCACACAACCACGCAGGTGGATGTGACGGCCTTGGCAGGAATTCGTGTGATAACCAACATGCCCACATGCCGAGGCCTGGTTCAGCATCCAACTCACCAGCCGCGTTCCCAGGAATGCTCCAGTTTATGCTTGGTCGTAATTAGCTACTTCATACGCCGAACTCACACGAAAGTCAATATCGTCACATCTCAGCTTGCTGCACAAAGACGGACTGCTTTCCATTTGCCACGCTTCTCGTTGTTAATGGCACAGTTTTCAACGTGTGCTCAAGTCGAAACGACGCAGAACCAAGACAGGCTTCCAAACAAGATCGCCGAGTTGTCCTGTGATGATGATGATGACGATGGTGATGATGACGCAACAGGCGACGCCTGACTGTCAGGGAAAGTGTGAGGTGTGCGCACTGCAGTGACTCGACTTCGCAGCGATTGTGATTGGCGAAATCACGAAAGGCCCCAATCAATGCCGATCGGTGGTGGTGGGTTTGATCGGGGTTGGAATGAGCCTGCGCAGACACCTTCCATGGACGAATAATGATTAAACCGTGTGAGGGTCGCCTGTTTTGGCAACCAACACGCATTCCTCAGCATCTGACCAAGCGCCTGTGTGCCAGTGCGTGTGTGACAAACGGTGGTGGCGTGTTGTCGGCTTGACACGGATCTCAACCACGCGTTCTTCTACTCAACTGACTCAGCCTTAGTCAGTGCTCTTGACTGAATAACATTACTAATGCTCTAACAGCACCCCCCACGGAGGGCCTATTCACATGACTCATCCAGCCAATGTGAACCGCTCTGACATGCCAAGAAACGAGGGCGATGGTGTGTGAGGAGGCGTACAACCCAGAAACATCCACACACACAGCATCGCCGGCGTCACACAGAACTTCACCCACAAACAGAGAACATTGGCAGGGCAGAATGGGACGCGACTAACCGATGTAGTTGGCACCCGAGCCGTTGGCAGCCTCGGCGTCTTGCAGGCGGTTCATTTTCGTGAGCAGGCGTATCTCCTCGCGAGCCTGGTTCGTGAAGGCGCGCTTATTCTTGATAATCTTAATCGCCACGTCCTCGTTCATCACAAAGTCGCGCGCCTTCATGACCTAGACACGAGGAAAATGTGGCGTTAGGCATCGCGTCTTGGTCGTTACTTGGTCTGTTTGAGTCATCGCGGCGCACATTTAAGTCACACTTTGCTAAAACGCCAAAATCCGCAGTCGAAACCCTAAATCTGTAATTCTCAGATTTGGTGTCGAGAGTAACACTACCTGACACGTATTTTAAAGTCTACCAGACCTCTCACACACTCTCATACACCTCAGTAACCTTGCAACACGTACACACTTCGACTTGTTAATTTTCATGAAAAAAACGTCCGATTTCAATAACAGCGCACAAGTAATTGCTATGAACCACAAATTGTTAAAAATAGCTGTTCAGTGACTGGGACAGCGTTGGCGTGGTGTAAAGAGGCTTTCCTAAAAAAGTTCCCAAACTGACCAATCACGAGGTTGCATCTCAAGGTCAAGAAGCCGCGCTCAATGCGTGGCGCAGACAACGGGGTTGCTTTTTTTTAATGCTTGCTTTGCTCTTAGCAACCAACCTGGCCAAACGAGCCCTTTCCAATGAGGCTGTCCATGAAGTACCGATTCATCCACACCTCGCCCGGCCTCACGATGTAGTCGAAGTTGGCGTCCGTGTGATCTGGATCGACGTGGTGCGTCTGCTGATCCTGGTTCGCCTTGGTTCGCACGGCGCGCTGTTGCTGCGGCGCGTGGAGCTGCTTGGTGGACGTCGTCAAGACCTGGCCAAAGGCTCCGCCGTTCTTCGCGGCGGCCGCGATCGCCGATTGGTTGACGTAGCCGCCGGGGAGGGAGACTAGGGGAACGAGGTGCGCCGTGGTCGGGTCCAGTGCGTCGACCGCGGCATCGCCCACCGAGGTACTCACAGGGATGAGGTTGTTAGAGGCGCCCAGACCAGCTGCAAAAGGAAGACACACGTGTGAAAGTGGGTGGCGGTTTCGCTCTTCTGTTTTCCAACATTTTTGAAGGGTTCCAGAAGAGGGAATGAGGGTTTAGCACTAGCACACAGGTCTTGACCAACACCGAGGCCTGAGAATACAAAAAGACGCCAAACGACAAGTCTACGTGAATCACATAACCCCAAAGAATTGCCGAGTTTACGACGGCACTGCATTTTATACGAATTCCAAGAAGGAACGAACCCTTCCAAAACACGGAAATCAATTCGCAGTGTTCTTGGTGCCAACGTTGTGTCCCAAGAAACATGTAGTTTTTTGATACAAACGTTTTTGGTAGTGGTGATTTTGATCTTAGTGACCAGCCGCGCCCCGGACAGCGGCCTAGGTAGTTTGGAGATGCGAAAATTACCAGCTCTACTGGACGAAAACTCAACACAAACGCAACGAGAGTTAGCATCACAGTTAGGAGTCACCTAAATAGAGTTCGTACCAAGCCTCTGAACCACCAACTTGGACAAATTCAAAAACTTGGAAGTAGAGCCCCAGAATATCGACGCCGAAACTGGACATCCACTTGAAGGGAAACATGTTGCAAGAGGTGGGTGGGTGGGGAGGTGGAGAAGGCAGTTTAATCTAGCGTAACTTCACGAACACAAGTAGAGGTGGGACTGGACTTATGACTTAATTTGTACAAATACTTCCTTCGAGATTAAAATTGCACAAAAAGGAGAAATATTTCCGCGGTCTTTTGTGGTTTTAAAAGGATCTGAGAATCACATAACCATTCAGAATAGCAGAGTTCCCGGTGGCAGAGCGTTTTGGACAAATTCCAACAAGGGAAATAATACTCCTAAAGAACGGGAATCGATTTGCAGTGTTCTTGGTGCCGACATTGTGCCCCGAGAAATGTGTAATTATTAGTACAAACGTTTTAGAAGTGGTGATTTCGATCTTGGTGACCAGCGGCGCACCAGAAAAAAGAAGCCCTGAAAGTTTGGAGATGCGCAATTGAAGGCTCCACTGGATGAAGACTCAACGCAAACGCAACAAGAGCTTGCAGCTCACTAAGGAATCACCCGAACGGCGCTTGCATCAGACGTTTGCACCACTGAATGGGAAAAACTTGGAAGTTGGGTCCTCCTACGTGTGCTGACAGAACACAACCCAGGTCAACGTGTGAACACATGCCTTTCACTGCGTGCCACCTTGGCATCAAATAAAAGGACTTCTTGTGGCATATTGCGACGAGTGATGAAAAGTAAATTTTTTACAAGAACCCTAAATGCCGGGCAACACAGCACATCGACACCGAAACAGGGCACCCACTTGATGAAGGTATCTGAACTGGTGCATGTGGTGGTACACGGGGGGTGTACTTTGTTACGAACCAATGGAAACTGGTCGTTAGACGGTGACTGCTCAACGCTACAGACGACAAATGAACAAAGTGAAAGAAGTCGTTTAGAAAACGCCAGTTTCTTTGCTAGGAAGCAGGCGAGTCAAACTGCTGTTGCATGACAACGCTTGAACGTGGAAGAGGGAAGCTCTCCCACACGCGGCGTATTCACCAGACTTGGCCCCATCCGACTACCAAGGTCATAGAAAACTGTGGGCAGTTTCCTACGGCTAAGGTCGTGTTTCTCAATGTTATCAAACTAAGTAAATTCGTTAAAAACCCGCAAAAATTAAATCCTCCACCTCAACCTACATGTCACCCTCGCGCTAAAGCGCATTAGACATCGTGTCTTCATGAGAAGGGTGGCTGACCGACAGTCTGGGTAAACCTGAAAACGGGTAGTGCGGGGGTGGGGTAGGATGGGGTGTAGGGGGGGGGGTACACGGACGGGAGAGTGTGAGCAGGCGGTTTCGCGTGATCGATTCGGACGCCACAGCGGAGAACACGACAACCGGGTTAACGGACATGAAGTGCAATGATCCACTAAACAGAAGTGTCTGCCAGATTCTTGTTAAAATACATACTTTTACGGAAAATTCGTCTGTAATGGAAGTGTTTTTGTAACTAGATAGGATACTGTCGACCAAGTGACATATATTTGATTAGAGCAATCTAGCAGGCGACTTCGTGATGAACGAGGACGTGGCGATTAAGATTATCAAGAATAAGCGCGCCTTCACGAACCAGGCTCGCGAGGAGATACGCCT